CCGCCCCCCCCCAGTGTCTTGTGTCCATTGGTTATGCTTATATGCATGCATACAAGTCCTTCGGTTTTATTTCTTACATGAAAAAAAAAGACCAAATTCAAAGAGATTAAGCCAGTTGCCTAAAGAAACACAGCTACTATAAGGCAGAGTTTGATTTTAAATGCATGTGTCATTCCAAAGGCACAGTGCCTCAAATAATAGCAGATGCATGGACTGTGTTACCTGATATTTGCCTTCAAGCATTTACTAGTACAGTTATAGTGTGGAGAATTAGGTAGTCACTTTATTTCAATGGGAAGGCATTTTTCAAAGGGCAAAAAATTTTGACCCATCAATGGCAAATAGACAGGAGACGGTTTAGGTTCCAAACACAGATGAATTTTGTGGTAATCAGAGCTACCCGACAATAGGGTCAGCACAGTTCCCAACAAGGCAAGCTTGAAAAATCACTTATGGGGGGTGCGAGTGGGGCAGGGGACGACCGCAGAGAAAGCTGGGTGAAAGGAACTCAAGGATCCTTCCAATGCAAGAGCCACTGATTCTCTCCCATGTGACAGGCACATCTGTAAACGTAGATACTCAGAGGTTTTGTATATTGGTTAGATCAGCCTTATTTCTTGTTATTGCCCCCTTTGAGAGGAGGAAAGTTGAAGTATGATGGGAAAGAGAAAGTAAAGAGCCTAAGGAAAAAGGGAAAGGTAGAGAAAAATACCTAGAAAGAGACTGAGTCCATGAAAGTTGGTCTCTAACTGGAAATTTTCTAAATTCATGAACAATTTTGAAGGTTTTTTTTTTCTCCTTAAAAATAAACTTTTAAAAAAGGTTGGAAGAGGAAGGAGAAGAATGGGGTTGGTGATCGAGGAGAGGAACAAAGAGAGACTTACAGAATGCGAGCCCCACTCCCCACTGTCCGTGAGCTTGACCCACTTGTCCGCCGTGGTGTCCATCTCCTGGCACTGATCGTTCTGAATCTGTGGAACACACACAATGGTCCCAGTATATCTTCTTGAATAATGGCTTTAATTAAATGTGCTACTCAGCATAGGACAGGCTGCAATAACTTCTTTCAATACGTACGTTCAACAATGCCCATGAGTCATTTTCAACAAAGTCAACACATCAAGACCTCTGAAACCGAAGTGCCAACTGCTGCGCATGAGTGGTTGTAGACAAACCATTGTCATTATTTTAACAGAAAGGCTATCTCACTGAGAAGGAAGGAGGGGAGTGGAGAAGAGAAAGAAGGGAAGAGCAGTTCATACTGAAAATTTACATAAAGAGAAAAAGTAACTACAAAAATCTTGCCAAATTGTTTGAAAAGCTTGCATTCGCCATGCAGGCCCAATGGTATAAAAATAAAGTTTGCTTTTTAAATAATATTTGGGGCAGTAAAATCTTAAATTAATAAATAAATTAGGTCTGCTTTGTTTTCAGTTCCCCAGGACTTAATCCAAATGTATAGGTTAAGTGGCCACAGTCAACGTCCCAAAATTTTTATTTGGGGGTAAATGTTAATCATTTGCCATACTGATTCAAAGGACCACACAATTAATATCTTTAGCACCAAACACTCTGTGCTTTCCAGAAAATTCTTCCAAAATGCCTAGGGTTTAGGACACTACTTTTCCAGATCTATGAAGAAGACGGAAACATCAAAAGTTAGGCCATCGTTACAGTATTGCACAATAGTCATCAATAGAGTAGGGTTAAAGTAGGTTCTCGTCACTTATTCTACTTCCACCCAAATGGTTCTTTCTTTTCTAAATCATTTTTGCCACTTCATGCATCCTCTAGACCAGAATATGTTCTCCATCATGAAATTTCCTAAAGATTTACTAACTAGAAAAATAGGTCCTTTTGCCATCCAAATACCAGAGAATTTCCACTACTGAGGATATTGGCTTCAATTGAATTCAAGTATCCTATTTATATTATAAGCATAATGGCCATTTTAATGTAAGTGTTAAGCCATTCTAGAACAGATAAGAACCCTGAATATACCTTTGGTGGTCAGTGTTTGGATAAGCTGACAGCTTTTTTTCAGCCAAAATCAGACATCATGTGTCATCATAATATTCTTTCTACTGGCATTCTAGGCACCTGAGCTCTGTTATTCATTCTAAAAGTAACTAGCAACGGTATAACCTCGGTCCAATCCATTATTCTTTCTAGGTTTCAGTCTCATCATTTAAAAGGGGGGCGGGGCTGACTGAAAGTCTCATACAGTCCCAAAATTAAATCCTGTATTGGTTCAAATTATGTAAGGTCCACAGGTACAGCTGCATCTTTCAGTCCTCACACATTTCCTTTCCACTAGCCCTTAGCAGGATGACCTGAGTCAATAAATCACAACCTAGGAAGCAGAAGCATTAATGGAAGGAGGAACATGAACTTGCCATCCCTCTTCAGTCTGTAACCAGAAGAACAAAAGCTTCTGGAAAGGAAGTAACGAAACTTCACGCCTCTGGAGGACCATTACTGACAATCCTCAAAGCACTTGCTGGACAATATAAAACTAAGTGCTTATTCGAACAATTATATAATTACCTTGCTTCTTAACTTTAGTTTAGTTTTAGTGATATTGCAAAATTGTCCCATAAAATAGGTAATTATTCACCCTAAGGAGTGTTTTATAAACGAAATGCAGCTTAAAAAGCAAATCTGAGCCCTAATCGGTTTGGCTCAGTGGATAGAGCGTCAGCCTGAGGACTCAAGGGTCCCAGGTTCAATTCCGGTCAAAGGCATGTACCTTGGTTTCGGGCACATCCCCAGTAGGGGATGTGCAGGAGGCAGCTGATCGATGTTTCTCTCTCATCGATGTTTCTAACTCTCTATCCCGCTCCCTTCCTCTCTGTAAAAAAATCAATAAAATATAATTTTTAAAAAAAGCAAATCTGAACGTTGCTTAATATCTTAAACTCATCAAAGGATATTAGAGCTAGGAGGGCTCCTTAAAAGGTCCATCACACAATCCACTTCACAAAAGGGAATGCTAAGGGTTGAAAAGTAAACGTAATTGCCCAATAACACACAGCTAGCACTTGCAGAGGGACTAGAGCCAGAATCTCTTGACTTCAAATCTAAGGTTCATACTTTAATCAAAAATATCTCTTCCTACCAACTTCTGATTTAGAAATTTCCGTTATCAAGAGCAATATATATTTGTTTTAGAATTTTTAGTACATTTCCTCCTAAAATCTGTACCACAGAAACATTTTACAAGATAGTTTGCCAGTTACTTGCACACACTTTTTTTAGTATGAGACGTCAATGGGAAAACATTTTCTCAAACATGTGAGTCACTGCCACAACAAATATTCGCTAGATTAGCTACAGTTTATATAAAATAGTTAAATAATTTTAGAGGTAACAGCCTATTCTGTTAGACTATTATTTTATCCTGTATATTGTAATACTATTTAATCTCTTACCAGAGACATCAGCTATCCCATCCAATAATTCCTTTAGATTGTGTACAACTGACAGAATCAAAATCTATAGCCACCTCTACTTCTGAAATAGTGTCCATGAATACAGTTAAATAATTCAAATATTTGAAATTGCAGGGAGAAAAAAAAAGTTTTTAAACAAAAATTGAATTTGATGGAGACATATTTTTAACAAAAAGCATCTGTCGCTACAAAAATAACAATTTTTAAAATGAATCTAGGGGAAAATATTTATCACACAAAGAGTCTACACCAAATGGTCATCTAATGATCATAACCAAAAGTAAAACAAGCTCAATGTTACTCTACAAGGCAAGAGCTCAGAGGTAAAGAAACAGTATTTCTATAATAAAATATTATAGAAAAAAAGTAAAGTTGTCTTTTAGCATCAAAAGTTTCAGTTAACATACACACACACAAAAAAAAAACTGAGAAGGCATAAAGTGTAATGGAAACAACAGATTAAGGTAAATATTACATGAATGTCCCATAAAAAGTATATTTCAGAATATAAAAGGCCTTACAAAGAACTCAAAGAAGATGTTGTTGTCGACGTACTGGTACTCAAAGAAGACATTACCCGACTTCTTAAGGTGCACAGCATAGATCAAAGACACGGTGCAGTCATCACGATTTGACTCTATGTAATTTCCACGAGGGACCCAAGAAGAGCTGTGGAAACAAAACCAAGGGGCAGCTTACATCCGCATTCAGAAACCTCCTATGTGACTCAGATTCAAAAGTCGTTCCTTCAGCAAGGCACAGCAGAGAAGACCAGAGCTTTTCTGGAATTCAACAGCCAACACCATTACTGGGAAAAGAGTCATTGCTATGGCACACAATTCCCTAAATCTTGGTAAGATCAATTTGCTATGAAACTGCTATTTTTCGTCAAAACTTTGATCACTAAAGAGACAATCACTAATTCTACTAGTTTGGGGTAGAATTATTCCCTCAAACAACATCTGAAATTTTATTTATTAACAAATACACATGGCAGGAGGTGAGAAGATTCCTTGATATGAGAGAAGAAATAGTCCTAGAAAAAGCCCATTTAAAATGAATCTAAATAAAATAGAGATCGCAGTTTCATAGTATATAATGAGGTAAAAGTCTGGAATTTTTATCTAAAAAAAAGGTAAAAACTTAAGAAAATATACTGGTAAACAGAATTTGGGTTGTCAATCTAACCATAAGTTAATTCTTAGAATCAATGAGTCGTGTGTCAAGGTTTGGGGCAAAAAAACAATTCCAACTGAACTATACAACAGATAACACAACTTAACATTCTTCTCTGCAGGTTTAACTTTTTATTTAGATAAGAGTGAGATTTTTAAATTCTTTCCTTTTTTCTAACAGAAATAAATTCTGAACAAAAGACTGAGACTTCCACATCCCAACATGGCTAACTGGTACTGGATCCGCCCTTTCTCTTTAACCATCTATTAAACTAAACAGAATGCAGGAGCCATTTCGAGCCTTGACAATAGGCAGTGCAGGACTGGGATGCCTAAGAGCAGCAAAACACATGTGGTAAAGCCCAAATTGACCTTGGCCTCATTCCTTAGGACACTTCCCAAACGATGACACCAGGAGGTGGCACCCAAGCAAAGCATGGTGGTCTCACTGAGCTGAGGAGCAGAGACAAGTGCTTGGGGGCAGCTGAAAAAGCTGTAATTTATACGCCTGAGAATCAGAGAAAATAGGGGCTCTAGTAACCCATATGGAGTTTCACTGTAAGTCCTGAGCTTGGGGCTCGCAGCCAATGCAAAGCTGAGACATAATCAGAGAGGTCACTTTAATGGAAGTCACTGGAGCTGCAAACCAGCCAGGAAGGAAGAAACTTGAAAAACTTATTGGACATCCACTTAAGATTCCAGAATTTGCTACATCTTATAGAGGCCATGCCCTACAGCAGGTGTCAGCAAACTTTTTCATAAAGGGCCAGAGAATAAATATTTGTGGCTTGTGGACAATTTGGCCTCTCTTGCAATACTTAATTAACTCTGCCACTGTGGCTCCAAAGCAGAGACAATGCATAAGCAAATGAGTGCCTCTGTGTTCCAATACGACCTTATCTGCAAAAACAGAGGGAGGGCTCACCGGCTATACTTTGCTAACTCCTGCCCTAGAGCAAAGGCCATGACCTAGAACTAAGTGTGAAATAAATACAGAGCCATCAAAAAATAAAATAAAATCAGACCTAATGAGATCAAGGTGCTCTTCCAGTAAATAAATTGCCTGCCAGAACAAAATTCAACACCTTTTAAATGAAAAAATAATAATAATCTGCTTTTCCTATATCTTAATATTCACAATGCTCAGGATAAAACAAAATTTACTAGACAGGCAAAGAAATGAGAAAAGATGATCCTTAACTGAGAAAAAAGAGAGTCCAAAGAAATAGGTGAGTAATTGAGACAGCTCTTACAAATATAATCAACATTAAATACAATATAAACACAATGAGTGAATCCCATGTCCACAAAATATTCTTCAAAAATGATGCTAAAATAAAGATAAATAAAGATTTCATGTAAACAAAAGCTGAAAGAATTTTGAGCAGCGGATTCGAAAAAATAATAAAGGAAATATTATAGGCTGAGAAAATAATACTAGATAAACATCCAGATCTATATAAAAATGAGGGAAGGTAGGAGGGGAAGCGAGGGAGCATATCTTTTAGCATAGCTAAATAAGTCCCAGCATCTTTAGCTCATGGTAAAATGTGTGAGTTTCTGAAAACCCACTCTTGTCAGAAGTTAGTCAGAGGCCTAATGTTTAATAACATGGCCATGTGAAAAGAAATGTCACATAGTCAATACAAGGGAATGGAAGTGGGTACAGACCACAGATAAACATTTTGGTGTTGTTTTTTTATCAAAACAATTTCAAAGTCCTCCAGTGGTGTCATAGGCAAAGCTAATAATTTCCTATAAGAGGCAGAAATTAAGCAAATGAGCTTTCCACTTCACATATTTAACCCACTCTCTATTAGAAAATAATCAAGTGCCTAAATGAAGGCTACACATTCTTTCTTTCAGAGGAAGAGAAAAAAAATCTGAAATTATCTGTTAAAAATTAGAGAAGCGTTTTTAGAAATACACTGGCTTGAGTGTAGTTATAAATATATTGGAAAATTAATTTGTTTTTCTAATAGCGTTATCACATTTTTGCATATGGTATCTATTCTGTCCTGAGAACAATTATTTTAACTTCATAAAAACTGAGCTACATTATTTGCAATGACTAGCCAAAAAAATATGTTTATTTGTAATTAGTTTATCTATAATCCCAATCAATACCAAGATTATCCTCAACTTCTTTCTGGAAAAGAGCAACTACATCCTTCTCAATGGTTCAATCAAAATCCTAAGGGTCCTTTGGGTTCTTACTTGTTACAGCCATCAGGCCTGGTGTCAGAAGGGCCAAGTACAGTGTCCATGAAAGTTGCAACGTTGGAAAATCCTGCTGGCAATTCATCCCATTCATCAAATTTGATGCCACTGCCCAAGGAGTAGGTGCCTTCACCACACTTACTGCATACCTGGTTCTTCATCTCTAGATACTCTCCAGAAGCACAGGAGAAAGCTGGAAGACAGAGGACACATAGCCCATTAGTCTCCAGACACCCCCATCAATTCTCTCCCCTTCACACTGTCACCAGAATTGTTTTTATAAAGTTCTGATCATGGCACACCCTAATTAAAGCTTTCCAAAGTCTCCCTTATCTCTACTGACACTTCACAATCTGGCCCCAACCTGTTTACCAGCCTCAGCCCTTGCCCCACCTTTTTCCAACCATAACAGAATTCACATCATTACAAAAATATTTCATCTTCTTTTTTGCTGCTGTGGTTTTCCTTCTCCAGAGATGCTGACCAACCCATCTACCCTATTTGGAAAATTCCCATTTCTAACTCAAAAACAACCCTGCTCATAACAGACCTCCCTGCCCCCACCAGGCAGTCAGTTTTGCCTCCCTCTGTGCTCTTATCATACTCTTCTCATAATACATCTATTAAAAAGCAATATATAGGGTGTCCCAAAAGAATGTATACACACACACTTTGAATAATTATAAAGGCAGTGTTTATTAAAATTCATTTTCAAAATTGAGCTATTAGCTGTTAAAGTGTGTATACATTTTTTGGGATACCCTGTATATATATATATATATATATATATATATATATATATATATCCCAAAAAATGTATACATACTTTGAATGATTATAAAGTCAGTATTTATTAACATACAGTTCTCTCATATATTATGGAGAGAGAGACACACACACACAGAGACATTAAACACAAATAGACACAGAAATAGATATAGATACTAATACCACTTATTAGTTGATGTGAAGCTTTGAGCTTCCAGAAAATAAGGATCATTATTTTTGGGTTCCTAATTGTAGCTATCAAATACTAAGGCCAAACAAAAGGTTGATGGAGTGAATGGGAATCTGACGTAAAGGGGATGCCGAGGGCAGTGCTTCATGTGCAATAGCTAAACAAGTATCTCCACTCTGGAACCATGAGCCGTCTTTTTCAATATTCATAACTATAACCTAGTCATTTCCACAACCTACGTCTCATTACTGATGTCAAGTTCTCTGCTAATTCTGAGAGCTGTACCCCGAAGTCATGGGCAATGTGACTAATAGTTGACACAGTTACAGAAAAGAAGGTAGTGCTGCTCCTAAGTTATTACTCATTCAACAAATGCAAATCTATGTCCCCTGAGTGTGTGTCTCTGTGCTCAGGGTGGTATTACTGACTCAACTACAGCAAAGGGCTTTTTAATCCTTTAATCGGGATATTGTAGAAACAAGAACAAAATAAAACCTTCAAATTATCCCATAAAACAAATTTCCCAGCAGAGAGCGAAGCAGCAGAGCCTCACATTTAGGTAGGTTCTCCTTTTAGAATACATTTGGAAACTTACCAAAAAAGAAAAACACGTTAATTTTGAAAAAGTGAAGAATGAGAGCTAAAACCCACACTCATCTACCTACTTAACCACTAAATAAATATAATGAGATGAGGAGGCCAATTCCAGTTCATGGGGCATGAATGACAAAAGGTTTATAGAAAAAAATACTACAACAGTGAAGGCCAAGGGAGGGAAACTGGTCAGAGTATTTGATGAGGTCACCAATGGGGGCAGAACAACACATCTGTGAAATCAGTTTTCTCAACTTCTAATTTATGTCCTAACATTGATTCTTATCCTCCTGAACTCTTCCTCTTAGGAAGTGTCAATCACCCTCTACTTCCTGGTAGTCTCTCTGTCCTTGATTCTGCAATTTTCAGGGCTGAGTTCTCTAATCTCCTTATAAAATGCTTGTTTTCAGAGGAGCTCACTCAAGCATAGCTCCCATCAAACACTACACTAATATAAAGCCTGATTTTGAGCTGTTCTCTTAACAATCTCTTTTGTCCTTGCCTTTGACCCACTATTTGTGTGTTGCTGAGCAAATTTAACTTCGGCACTCTCCATACCTGGAATGTGATGCATTCATATTCCAAATTAGACCTACTGAGGACAAAGTGTTTCTGTCCTTTTACATATAGAATGAATTTTTACAAATCTCATTAGATCTCTGTGTTTCACCTACAGAAAAGAAACACTAAAGTCAGTCTCTAATTTGATGACACCAAAGATATTCAATCAATAAATATCCCAGTGTTTGGAGCTTTCTTAGAAGTCATGAGAGGATTATAGCTCCTCTCCTCTTGGAAAGAATAAAACACAATTCTATTTTTAAGAATGGCTATAGTTTTAAAAAATCAATATCTTCTAATACATGTTAAATAATGAAAGCATACTATATGTATCAAGCACCCACAATTTTCTAGGCACAGAAATAAAAAAGCTAAACTTCTCATTGTTTATGATGATATAACTACAAATGTGCCCTAAATTATGAATGTTATTCTCTTACTTTTCAGAAACATGTACACAATTAAGAATAAAATTTCCCTGATAAAAAAAAAAAAGCTGAAGGATTGCATCACCACTAAACCTATATTATAAGAAATGTTGGAGATTTTTTTTAAGAAAAAAAATGTCGAAGATATGAATATGGAAATATTGCAAAGAAAAAAATTATCAATGTCAAAGACAAATACATTATAAAAGCAGTGGATCAACCTACACTAAAGCTAGTACAAAGGTTAAAAGGCAAAAGTAGGGAGATCATGTGTAATTACAATAGTAAATTAAGAGATACACACAAACATACACAAGCAAAAGAAGTAAAAAAATAATGATAAAATATAAACATGGAAGGTTGAGTAAAAATGGTAGTAATTTTTAAGTGGCCATCAATTTAAAATAGACTGCTAAGAACAAAGCTTGATATATATGAAGGACATAGTAACCACAAACCAATGCTCTACAAGAGAGAACAAAAAGAAATCCAAACACAACACTACAGAAAGCCACCAACATACAACAAGAGGAGAGAGCAAGAGAATAAGAAAAAACACAGAACTACAAAAACAATCAGAAAACAATTAATAAAATGCCCATAACTACATACCTATCAATAATTACTTTAAATGTATATGGATTAAAGGCCCTAATCAAAAGACAAAAGATAAAGAAGATGTGGTATATATATACAGGGCTTCACGGTTAAATGGAATATGACTCAGCCATTAAAAGCATGAAATCATACAATTTATGACAATATAAATGGACCTAAAGGGTGTTATGCTAAGTGAAATAAGTCAGACAGAGAATGACAAATACCATATGATTTTACTTATATGTGGAATATAAAATAAATAAATAAATAAATAAATAAATAAATAAATAAATAAACAAACAAACAAACATACAAAACAGAAACAAATTCATAGACACAGAGAACAAAATGATGGTTATGAGATGAGAGGGGGGTTGGGAAAATAAAGAAAACATGAAGGGATTAAGAAGTATAAATTGACAGGTACAAAATAGTCACAGGGACATAAGGTATAGCTTAGGGAATACAGTCAATAATAAGATAATTGCACAGGTGAGTGCAAGACCTTCTGGGGATCACTTCGTAAGTTACATAAATGTCTAACCACTGTGCTGTACACCAGAACTAATATAATATTGAATGTCAACTGTAATTTTAAAAATATATATTTAAATATAAATTAGAAAAAAATAAAATCTACAAACAGATCATTAATCAATAAAATGAGCTACAAAGCCATATATCTGATATTTAAATGCCATCTTTTTAAAAATCCACTTACCTATTTGGGATATTAGTTTGCATAGCATTTCTGTCAAGAGGTAAAGGTTGGGAGAGCATGGATACTAACACTTGTTGAGCATACACTGCAGTGCATTCCAAAGAGGCAGAACACCATGGAGTTAAGAAGATGGACCCAGAGAGTTAGACTGCCTGGTTTCAACTCCCAGTTCTGCTTTTGACCTATCTGTGTGAGGTAATACAAGCACCTATTCACCAGAGTGTTGCAATGACTAAATGAACTGGCGAAAACACAGGTAAAGCATTTGCAATCATGTCTTGCATATAGCAAGTAAAGATTGGCTATCATAATTTTTCATTATTATCATTACTACTAGTGGCCTGGTGCACAAATTCGTGCACACTGAAAGAAAATTAATTAGAAGAAATATTTTAATATCGCTATTCGCCCTTTCTCTATAATAGAAGTGTCAACCAAATTCATGATCAACAATGACAGATCAAAACACACTCATGCAATTTTTATATGTATCACACATGTGCGAGTCAATTTAGCCTTTTATATATATATAGAATAAACTTGCTTAATTAGACCTTGCTTAACTTAGCCTTGCTTAACTTAGCTAAACTTTTCCCAGCCCAACTTCTCTTTCAGGTAATTGTCAGCAACACAGCAATAAATATCAACATGGAGCAGATTATTATTGTAGGTCATGCAGGGAGAACAGAAGGTAAAATATTTAACTGCAGCAGTGTTTGACTATATTCTGCACAGTGAGAAAGCCTGAAGTCATTTTCGAGGTCCACCATTTCTTACTTCTTTTCAGTCGGGTCAAGTTTCTAAGCTTTCAAAATCTCCATTTTCTGGCTAATGAAAAGAAAATAGGATTCTACCAAGTCTCCTATCTACCTACTCCAGGACTTCTGTGAGGATCAAATGAGATGAGGCATGGGAAAATGCTTCACAGACATTTGGTTAAAGTGTGAAATGTTTTCACCTGGCTATGAAGCAAGTCGTGTTCCTGGGCTGAAGAAACTGCAAGGAGGCTAGTCACTAGGGAGAGGAAGCTGGGCATTGCTACGTGATGTCATTACCCGGATGGTCAGACACTTAGCATATTAGCCTTTTATATATATAGATGAAGTTAAATTATTACTAGAGGTCCAGTGCATGGATTTGTGCACCAGTGGGATCCCTTGGCCTTGCCTGTAGGGATCGGGCCAAAACCAGCAGTCCAACATCCCCCAAGGGGTCCCAGAGTGCAAGAGAGCACTCTGCAAAGTTGCTGTCACTCAGCAGCTCCTTCGTTGAGCGCCTGCCCCTTGGTGGTCAGTGTGCATCATAGCTACCAGCCGGTTGGCCAGTCAGCT